TCATGGGTTGTGAGGGGTACAGATTTTTTTTTTTTAATTTTCTACTGGCCTTTGGGAACGCAAAATGGAAAAACAGCTCTTGAATTTTTTTAATATTTGGCAAATTATTCAAATCCTTAATTTTATAAAATTTATCACGATCTAGGATCTGATGGTGTTATCGTTGGCTTGATAACCCGGAGAACTTTGAGGAGTTTTGTCCAGGAATAGTAACAGAATTTCAGAGTCTAACCATGCTATGGTAACAAATAATAATCAATTTTACTTTTAGAAACGGAGAAGGATTGAAGATATTTTTGATCCTGTTCATGATGGGGTCGTTTCTTAAATAGTGGGTAATGTTGTAACAAATATTCGTTTTTTTTTGTCGTCCACCTTACTCGCTATTTTTGGCATTGGAGGAGGGAGAATTTTGCTATAGGTACAAACAAACCTACTCTAAACAGTGCGGGATGATCGAGATTTGATTCGTTGGTCCGCTACAAAATAAATTTCAACACACCCAAGCCGGATTCGAACCTGCATCTCTGGACTTGGGAATATTAAAGAGGGCATGTTAAAGGCAGCCCTAACAAGTTCGGCCATCCCGCCCTCAAAGTGAAAACTATTATTTACTCTGTGCAACATGACGAAAATTCTTTTTCAGAAAATGCTGCAGCTAGAAGAAAATAGTCATCCAAGAGATTACAAAGATTATCTATAAAGAATAGGAAGGAATCATTTGACGTGGTATTTAATGATATTATACTCCGTTAGCTAAACGTCAAAGAGATCGAAATTTTCGCTTTGACTCAGGATAGATGAGAAGTCTTTTCTAATTCTATCACTTGTTGAACGAAATGTAGTCGCGTTAAGGGTTTTCAACTGAGTGAGGAAACACCTACTCCGATAGAGCATGTGCCTCGTAATTATAACATTTTTTCAAGATATGTGGATGTTAATGTTTGAACTATTGGAGGAGTGATCACAAAGTACTTTTCGACAAAGCATAGAGATTATGATGTAGTTATATAAAAGTATAATGAATCTGATGAAATGGAGTTCTATATTTTTTATAGAAATTCTTTTTCGCGGTTCGGGGAGATTAAAAAAAACGTGGTTCGTGAGAACTGTACCTGATTTTTTTTAAGAGGATATTTTAAATATATCTTGTTTTCTACTTTTTTCTAGTATTTATAAACTGTTTTAGAAAGTGGGTAAATTTAAGACTGTTTGAACGTTTTAAAAAAAAAATCCAGAACCATTACTGGGACCCTCTCCCTAAATTTTAGAACGCTTAATTATAAAACAGATTAAAGAGGATATAATTCTAATTAAACTTCTAGTTTATAATTTATATGGTTATGAAATGGCAGTAATTAATCCCTCAGTCCGGGATGATTATGCAGAAATTATTCATTACATTTCGATTTTTGGTTGTGAGTCATTTTCATATAAAGTGGTACTTTTAAAATCAAAGCGAGCTTGAATCCGTTTAAAAAAAAACTAAGATGTGTGCTTTAGAAGTTAAAACATCAACAAGGCGAGGTTAATAATATGAAATATAAATTATTAATAATGGACATTTCAAAGAGGATTAAATGTTGAACATTTTCCTGGCTCACAGTATGTAGGTCCGATTTTAAATATATAATTAATAATTTCATAAAACTAACATTACTTAACATAAATCACATGTTGGCAAGGAAATTAAATCAAATTTTCTTAATAAATGAAAAATTTGAAATTCTTTTCTAAGATTGAGGAAAAAAAATATTTAAAATCCACCGAATCAAGCAAATGCCGTTATTTAAAATACTATTTCAATGTACTCGTGTGAAAGAAGTAGTGAAATATAAAAAATATTTCATGGATATGTTTATAACCTTAAATGCATTTACTGTAATTTAATAACTGTAGATATGATATTATATTAAAATAATTAGGTATCTATTGGCCGTTTATTCCAAAAAATCATCAAGTAACTTTTTAGAAAATGAATTTATTGTATAATTTGATGAATTTTTCCTTTGCGAAATCCCAACATTATCCACTTACAATTAGACTGGCAACTTTTGATCTATCCATGGCAGGCATTGAAAATCTCGTAATTTTATTTTAGTAAACTTTACAAAGATAGATGGCAGTTTAATAATTAATAGTCCTACAATCCATAATCATTTATAGGTTAAATATTTAGATATACAATACTTTCAAATCTCTCTAGGCTTATATGAGCCTTTCGGTTGACAGAATGACTAACTCCAATTTCGACATTGTTTATTATTAATTTTAGTGATGTTTCTAAGTGGAAAATTTATACCTTTATTCACGGTTCTATATTTCAACACCACAATCATCTACTCTGGTCGTCTCAACTTCCCTCATTTATTTTGTTTTCTGCTGTGCTGATCCATTATACTGATATATATTTATTAACATCGTTTTTACTGAACTTTATATTTATAAACAGAATTTTCTTTTCAAAGATTTTTCATTTCGACCTAAAACAGATTTTTTAAAAAAAGTTTAAACATTTTCAAAGAATATTAGACATGAACTGATGTTTTGTACCCGGTTAATATAACATCAAACTCCTTTTTAATGTGTTTGTAAATGCTCGTCAAGTTTGACAGGTCATCTCAATTTATCTTAATCCCTCGGTGATGAATAGTTGGCTTTACAGATCGCTTCAATCTATCACCTTCCATGGGTCATTAATCAGGTATCGATATGCACCTGTTATATAAGTCCTTTATTAGAAACTTTTATTTTTGTATTAAGTCCCCTCTTCAGCACAACGCTTTTCATGTCATTTTTTATCGAAGTAAACTCTGCAAGGGTAATTTTCTCCCTTTAGGAACGATGTATTAGATATATAATGCCTATAGAAAATTACTTATAAAAGTAAAAAAATTGTAAAAAAATGTAAAACAAAACAAAAAGTGTGAATATATATTTTTTTGTATCATATGTCATTAAATAAATCTTGTGGTAAAATATCGTCAAATCCTTTCACCCTATGTTACTCAATTCAGTTTTTGTTAATTTGTATGGGTGGAAGACTATTTCACTGGAATCTGTAAAATAATTGTGCATGACTGTGCTGATGATAGTACTAATTTAATTAGTATTAATTTGGTATAATTGTGCTAAAGTAGTGCTAATAAACTAGTATTAACATAATGAAACGTATTAATTTTGTTATTGTATATACAAAAATAAAGTTTTTCTATCAATCTATCTATAAATTACTTACATATCAAAACCAATATCAGTAGAAAGCTACCTATCATTACTTTTAAAAGTCCCATATATAATATTTTGAGCATCACAGTACTTCTAGTTAATAATAGTTTATATTACTAATATTAAAGCAATATTCAATATGGACCCTACAGTTCATTTATACTTAGTCCAGTCATACATATTGTTACAAGGAAATATATACAGATTTCAACAGAAAAATTAATTTTGTCTAAAACTTTATTAGAAAATATAATGTATATCCATAGAGAGTAAAACAAAAATGAAATTACTCAAAATCACACTTTTGCCTTGACACAGGAATTTAATCTCCCTGGCCACTCATCTATAACTGTACGCAGCACTTCTTGAGGAAAGCGCTCAACTGCTCAGGCCAGAGATTGTTTTAGGCTTTCCAAGTTATGGTGTGCTCTGTGGCATGCCATCCTATCCAGTTCAAACCAAAGGCGATAATCTAGTGGGTTGAGATCAGGGCTTCCTGAGGGCCAATCTGAGGCAGAGATTAACTCAGGAATGTTCTTTTGCAGCCACTGCTGAGTTGACCTGGCCTAGTGAGCTGGAGCGGAATCTTGCTAGAAAACCCAATGACTTCCATCAAAATGAGCATCATTTAGAAAATTGACAACAGGTTCCTAAATATCGTTCAGATAGTTTTTAGCGGCTATTTTAGCTCTTTTTTCTGGAGCTTTTTGGTGCCATCAAAGCAAATTCCCCCAGAACTATCACCGAGGAAGGATGATGACCTCTTTCCACTCTTCCAATGACTTCCTGGGCTTCTTAAGAGCTGTGTGCGTACGCAAGATCATTTTGGCAATTAATTTTTTCTTAAATTGTAAAAATGTTCTCATCGCTAAGCAAAATCTTTCGATGAAGACCATCGGTGAAACGGCCAAGTGGCACTTTGCATATATACACTCTAAGTTTGGAGTAATTAACAAAAAATTAAAGCTTTGTAATAATTGGTTTTATTCATTTTTTCTGAAAACATGAGTACTTTTAGGATTTGTGAACATCTCATTTTTTTACACAACTAGAGGTGAATCTCAAGTAATTTCGAAATGCACCTTAACCTTATTAATACTGACATAAAATAAATTTAACAATAAAGTTTTTCTTAAAGCGGGGTATTATTAGTATTATAGTTGCAAGTTGAAGAAAAGAGTCGAATAATCCTTATTTTTTTTTTTAAACAGAACTTAGCTTTGAAGTAATTTTGTCTAGTTTACTGTGTAGCAATTATTAATTACATATAAAAAATATTTTTTGAAGACCAGATTCATTATAAAGAACAGACACTATCTAAATTATTGCATTTTACACTTAAGAATCTGATCTTCAAATGATATGATAAATTCAAACAATCTATTAATTATTAGACTAATAATGTATTATAATAAATGATCAATAGTCGGTGATGACCCTAGGGTTTTACGCCGTGAAGACCAAAAAACGAACAAACAAAACAGTCTAATATAACTAATAAGTATTTATTTAATTATCGCTTCCAATTCAATCGAAACGTGACTTAATTAAAAAAATATATATAAATATCCTACCTTTCTGCGGGATATCGAATCCTTGTTTACATAAACATTTTGGTATTTCTAGAGTCTTTACAATACTAGTTTTAAGGGATCCTAATATTCAGATAATTCATTTTTAAAAAATCTGTTTCTGTTTGAATTTCCTTTCAAAACTTGTTTAGAGGTGTCCATGAGCGAGAATTCTTATTATTAATCGAGTAATACTCTGTGATGAATTCACGCCTCCTCAACCAGGATCATCTACGCCTGTCTCTGGCAGCTACCATCAACTTCCTGATGCCGTGCATTGTTCACGCGTCATTTGCCACACCATCAGACCATCAAAGATATGGTCTAGCAGGTTCTCTATCAGCAGCTTCCTTGGGATCTCCTCGCCTTCGCTTCGGGCTACTCGGTTAGTCCAACGCAGTCTTCTTGCAGATTTTACTTGCGAAAAAACGTATATCTAAAAAGTCCTAGTAGCTCCTCCTGTTTCATTAATTTCCCACTCATTCGTACTACGAAGGAGTATAGTTGATCGTTTCTTTCAAAGATCTGAAGGCCCTATTCATTTATATTGAAATCATTTTTATAAAAAAATATTTGTTAATATAAGTAAAGAAATGATTCACTATATTTCGGCTACGTTATTGCTGTTGAACAAAATACAATAAATTTAAACAAAATAAAATACAAGCAAAATGAACAGATCGTGAATGCCCTGTATTTATTAAATCAACTGGAAGATTGAAATGGTCCAGGATATAAATGATGAATAAGGTGATTATGGCTTACTTTTTATACATTCTTCTGTTCCATTAAAAAAATTGTATGGCCTCAAAAAGAAGAAAAATGTCCTGTACTATCAGGTCATCTTCTTTGTTTAATAACACATCCCGAAGTATCTTCTGAATTATTAGCTCTTACCAGATAAAACCAGATTCTGGTAGAGGTATTAAAAAAGCCTGAAACAACTTTAAAAGACCACCATTGGCAATAATAAAGTTATAAAAAAAAATGTAAGAATTCGTTTGTATAATAAGGTACTTTAGAAATTTAAATGTTATGTGAAACTTGTAAATTTTATTTTTAATATATTATGCTTAGTGTAGCTAAGAACTTTTTCACTATCCAATTTAATAATCGTAAAGGGTCTTTGGCACCTAATTTGACAAAGATTCTTTCTTTTATAACTCTTTCTTCAATATTTGTTAAAAAATCGTTTTCGGCCCATATTGATGTATTGGTAGTATATTTATAATTCGGATAACATTTCCTATAAGAATCTACAATCGGTAGATATTTGTCCACCACATCTCAAATGTTCGAAGCAATGTCTGGCATTTAAAAATTATAGTTTCCAAAAATCGGTATCTGTTCTTAATTTTTATAAATATGCAAATGTATTTTAATTTGTTTGTTAAATTTATTTTGAAACTAATATGTGTGTATGATTGTATTTGTACAACTTTATGATAAATAGCGCTTTACTCCAAGGGCTGGCAGATCTTGATAGGGAAACCATACAGTAGTGAAAATTTAGTTAAGCATCTAAAATATATTTGTTTTAAATAAATAATAATTATTACCGACATCTCCATTATTTCATTGTATAACAATAGGGGCCAATATAGGACTTCAATGGAAGTCTTGGGCCTATGAAAAAAAAAGACTTTACGATAGGATTAAACAACAAACTGCTCATTGAAAATAACAAAAGAATTATTATTATTTTATAAATGTAATACACATTGTGCCTAAGAGGTAAACCAACTTCTCAGGATTATAATTATTACATTTTTCGATTAAATATTCAATGATAGTTTAGTGGTGTATATATTGTCCATGTATTGCAGTGTATTAAGACAACACGAATGGATCAACCGAGAAGTATGGTATTGCAAAATGGATTATTGCAGACCTTTACCTGTTTCAAATGAAGAGTGATTTGAAGCCAACGGCTGTTGGTGGTGGCGGCATTGAACTTCACGGAAAGTTGAGCTTTATTTTCGAGATGAAGGTCACTAACGTGATTGTGTGGTTGTACCTAGAAGGTTAACTTCACTAATTTAAGTACTTTTTAGCGATAAGTTGTTGAATTATTCGAAGATATTAACCAGCTGTATGAAGTTGATATTGTTAACTAAATATTGTTAACAAAATATTTCGTTTAAATATTATAAATGTCTTAATGTATCTATTAGTCTTCAAAAAAAGTCATGGTGTTTCCTTATCCCCTTATATAATTTTTGACTATTTTCAAGGCCTCAAAAGTTCTCATTTTTCAACATTTTTGCATTTTAAGGAGGTATATGTTCTTGCAATAATCTCAGTTATTTTATTATTTCTAACTTTTAATTAGGCAATGGGGCAAACCCTTTGTGATGAATTTAAAATTTAATTTTCATTCAACTTTTGCCATCGTTGAGGTGGTCTAAAAGGTTTAATACGACTGGATAAGGAATTTGCTTCATCTTTACAAATTGGTAAAATTTGTTATTCCTCTCAGCAATAAAAGTCTTTACTTTTATTATTTTTAACTCATCATGAAGTCTTGACGCCATAAATCTTAGCAATGACGTTTCTTTTTGGACTATTTTCCGTAATATTCCAACTAATTTTAGTCGTTTTTCTGTCTTCTTTGTTATAAATGGGAACAATGGGCTGACATGTTACAGGGTCGGGCTTATGATTGTTTTATTAAGCAAAATATTTAGAAATATTAAAACGTTTGTGGAACATAGTAGATGAGTTAGTAGGTAAGTTGTTTTGTCTGATTTTTTTTTTTTTTTTTTACAAAGGTGTGTCGAAAAACCTATATGTCGATCAAAACTTACTTCTAAATTGACAATATGTTTGGAAAATTTATTTTCGCAGTTTTTAATTTTGAATTTTACCGATAGTTTTTTCTTCCCTTTTAGAAACAAAACAACAATCTGGATTTGCCTCGATGTTTAACTTACTCAGTTCGTCGATTATCTTTTTAGCAAAATCTTGTGAGTGTTTCATTAACATCTTAGCGCTTCAACTGCTAATTCTTCCAGTGTAAACAGAGAACATAAGATTTAAAGAACAAGAAATTTGCACTTTTACTTTGAATCGATTTTAGTCGTTTTTCTGTCACTTTTGTAATAAATAAGAACAATTGACTGCCATATAAAATGGTATGGCGAATGATTGTTTACTAAATCAAAATCTTTAGACGCATATATAGATCGCTCAAACATAAATGAGAATTACGTGATACACGGAGTCCAATGCTTTCAAGATACACTATTATAGTAGTAGGCTTCTGTTGAAGTTGCTTGACAGGGGTGCCCAGAAGGAGGATTGATCAAACTGTTTGATATAGATATATTTGAGCGGTAAAAATCCGCTTTTTTTGAGAGGGGGACATTTCGGTGGGATTATGGATTTTCAGAGTGAAAAGTTCCATGCTAAGGTACAAGGAGAAAACATAGAGCATAACGCAACAAGTATAATTGTATATGACCTTCGATTTTTTGAAATTATACCTTCGCTTGCTCCGGTTTTAAGAAAATGTGAGCAATAAAATAAGTAGGAGTGGGGGAAATATGTTCCGCGCCATCGACCTTGAGGGGAATGGGCACCCCAGTTGCTTGATATTTCATTGTGCAGCCTCACTGAGCAGTGTACTAAGTTATTCCTGAAATCAAGTTTGCTGTATTGGAATTGCTCCAATTTGTGTACAGAACTTCCGTGGGAGAACCAGAAAAAAATGGAATTATAGAAAGTTTCTTTGGAGAATTTTTTTTCAACTTATACTGAATACCTGTCAGAGAATTCCTATAAAGAGTAAATTCTTGCAGCTTGTTTGTTTTACTCTTATTGCATAGATATCAGTATCAGCCTCGATTTTTTTCTGAGACATAACTGGTCAGTTGTGCAAGCTTCGTAAATCCCAAATTAACCGTATCAATATTTTGCTTATTTTATTTTTTACTTTGTTTTATAATTTTTTTTTTCTCGTTGCAACTTTCAGTATTCTAATGATCGATCAGGAAAAATATTTTATACCATTTGATTTTATTACTAAATTTTGCATGTATTGAGTTTTTAACGATATAGAGATGGTTGACCATGATATAAAATGAGAAAGAAATGATCGGGAGATGCGGTCAAATCAATAGTAAATTATAGAAATAGCTAAAGCTAAAATAAGAATAAGATATCAGTGGAGGTTACATTTGATAACTGTAGGTAAAGAGATAAGGGGGCTAAAGGTTAACCTACAGTTTTCAAATGTAACCTCCACTAGCTTGTTACCCAATGATATCTTATTATTGTGTTATCTTGTTTTTATTTTAGCTTTACTATATCAATACTTATTCAATTTTCAATCTCTTTATTCTTTAACATTCATTTTCTTTTTCTGTTAACCTGCAGTTATCAAATGTAATCTTTATTAGTTTCTTATAATTTCTTATATTTATCACAATATGTTTACTTTTAACTTACATACTATATTCTCCTTTGTTTTATATTTTTATTCATACTTATTTTCTATTTTTGTTTGTATCTTCTATATATATAATACTTGATATTTTAACTATATTGTCACCCACTGTATCTCTGATATCATCTTATTTTTTCTTTAGTAGACAACTTTTTCTTATTTCATATCTACTTATTATTCAGTTATTTTATTTTCACCCTGTACCTTTTATATTTTGTAGCCCTGATGAAGACCTGCAAGGTGGGTCGAAACGTCGGCATAATAATTAAATAATACTATTTCTATAATTTAGTATTTATTTTACCGCCCCTCCCCCGTCTCCTCTCGATCAACTGCATCTCATATTTATTTTTTAATTCATTAACAAGTTAATTATTTTTATTTTATAAATATTTATCTTGTCACATCCTCGTCTTTCACAGGAGCCTGCTATGCCGAGTTCGGGGTGAGGGTGCCGAAGACGACGGGTTCCGCCTACATGTACTCCTACGTGACAGTTGGTGAGGGAGTGGCCTTCATCATCGGGTGGAACATGGTCCTCGAGTACCTCATCGGTACCGCGGCCTGCGCCAGTGCGCTTTCCGCCTGCTTCAACACCATAGCTGGGGGTGCCATTTCCGAAGCACTGAAGAAGCATATCGGAACCATCGTAGGTGAGTAAATGGTATGATTATTAAAAAAGAAATCATAACTCAGAATAGTTCATATATATTTTTTTAATTTGTATACACAAAGAACTTACTTGGAATATACATAAGAAATTAAACAGACATAATCTGATAAGACAGTATAATCTACTCTTGCATGTTCTGCACTACTGAAGGTTAATACTATTGGTACGGACAATTATTCTACTAAAGCGACTGATCTACAGTTCAATACTGAGATCAATTTCTACAGAACTTCGAGGTTCAGTAAAACAATCGCACATACCCGAAATACAAATAACACAATCCATAATTCTTCAACAAATCGTTAACGCACAAAGGTATTTTCCAATCAAGTTATTCACAACGACATAATCATCTCAACAATAAAATGTTACATCAACAAAAAATATCTAACATTTGATTCATCAACTCAAAATTACACAATCCACTAGTTCAATTGATTTTCTCCTCCTTGTTATCTGCTCGAAGTAGATTAAAAAGAAAATGGCCTACGTATGTACTTACGTGTACGTAGACATAGAGTACGTACGTGTATCCCAGATAATTATAATTTATGAGCTTCACCAATAACTTAATAACTCACTCAATAAATCAATGCCATAATCAACGATGATTCATAGAAACTAATAATATAGAATCAAATTTCCTAAATGAGCTGCTGTATAGTTGTTAATGCCGTATAAGAATAAAACTTTAAAAGTTAAACTGTACAGTCTTTTTGATTGAGTAAGAAAGTTAATATAATCATTGACTTGTGAAGTTAATGAATTATTTTGTGGTAGTAAAAGTGAAAAGAGAATAATGGAAGAATTATACTCATATTTTTAACAGTATAACAACTCAGAAAATGCAATGAGTTTAAAACATAACAGCCACGTATTGTAGAAATATATGTTCGCTATAAGTTAAGAGATAGTTTTAGAAAACATAGATGTACAAAACATCACCTATTTATTGCAAAACGTCACTAAATACATTATTAATGGATCTAATATATATATATATATATATATATATATATATATATATATATATTAATTTTGCTTCACGTATAGATACAAAAACATAATAAGTGCATTAAGATGAAAAGAAAGCTTATTATGTATATGCGTCGTAGATAATTACACCAAGTTATTACAGAGAGAAAAACCATCAAAATAGTTAGTGATTTAATTTTATAAAATGTTACTTAGAGATATCCTTTTCCGCAAAGTATCTTTAAATATTTGACTTAATTCAACTACTTCAAATTGATTAGTTAGGTTGGAGAGTTGTGCAAGAAATAGTTCAACAACGATAAATTCTGTATTGAATAACTTAATAGACCTCAATTATCTCCAATTGCTATATTCATTGATCCTGAAGGAAGAACAAACTAATCATCTAGAATATATCTCTTTAATAATTAGAGAAAAGTTCCGGTTCATTTTCTCTCCATTACTAAGGACTGTTTGACGGAGAACAATATTGGAACTGGGCCTGACCCATCGATTACCTGCAAAGAAGGAAGTCCAACTGTCTCCAATAACTCATTCACAATGGTCTCTTAGATAAAAAGAAAAAAAGGAATGAAATGAAATAAAGCTATTTTCACTAAAAGCTTTTCAAAATTTACTGAAAGTTTTCTTGATTTATTGCATAAAAATAAAAATACGAAATTATACTCTTGCATGGGTTCATTACAGTGCCATTTTACTTTATGAAAACATAAATTGAAATAATTAAAGAAAAGTGTTATAAGAAAAAAAAATAATTTTGAGAGAAGTTAGTTCTTTTGGAACAACGATGGTTAGAAAATGATAATTCGTGTTAAAAAAATGTCTACCAAGTAAGTCAAAAACGGTTGTCATGCTTCCTCACTGTTTTCATTAGCTAAAAAATATCTATATTACAAGGTGCAAAATTTTTCGTATGAGAATAAAATCTCTGGGAGAAGCTGTTTTCGAAAATTCAGTGATCTCTCAACTGATAGGGGTTTGATAGTTTTGTTTATTGAATACTAAAATGTGAAAGGGGTCTGCGTTTGCAGAATGCATATTTGATGATTCCTGATTTTTAAAAAAATCCAGTGCTTACAGATCATTAATATCACTAATGTTAGTGCAAAAGACCGTATGTAAAAATTGAGTGATTTACACGAGTGCATAAGAACTAATTATTTCTTTATGATTTATTAGTATAATTTCATATTATATTGCTCTCTGCTATTTTCCATCGTAGCAGATTGCTTATATCAGTTACAGACTACAAAATGTCACCTTTAGCACAAATAGAATAAAATTTGAAAATATTTACATACGACCTATTGAGTGAATAGGAAAAATTCAACTTTCGGAATTAACTGTAATATGAAAAAAATGTGTGAAGTTCACACAAATTTAATATTTAAGGAGGAAATCGAGAACACCAAAAGTTATTAGAAATTTCCTAGTAATAAACACAATCACTAATAAGAACTTTTTTTTAATACAATCTCAGAGTTAAAATTTAATTTAAATTTACTGAAAATTAAACGAAATCTAAGTAATGACAGTAGATTTCATACCAGTAATGTCCGGAATCGACCAAAAAATACAGTATAAATTAACTTTTTTAATAAACCTTAAATTTTATAACGCCATAAAAATATTTTGTTAACCTAACGCCCACACCAAATGATCAATTCCTTCCATATTTCACAGCCATTATATTGTTAACAATTATTTATATCAATTTTAATTATTAAATTTAATTCAATGAAATTGATACAAGGCAATTTCTATACTATTCTCCAAATTTCCTCTAAGTTTGAGACAAATCGAATGAGCAGTTTTTAAACTATAGGCTTGCCAAATAATAAAATCCTGATCTGAAAGCGGAAGCTTTTTTTTTTTTTTTGGAGTAGTGGAGGGAATTTGATAAAATTCATACATATTTGATTATCCGTCTAAAAATCCCTAACGTCTCTCAAAATTTGAGCCAAATCGAAAAAGCGGTTTTGCACATATAGAAGAGAAATTAGTTGACAGAATTCAATAAAATTGGCAATACATCATTTTTTCACCAATACCTACTTTTTATCGAACTATTTTTTTCTTATCCAACTCCTACTTTTTATCGAACGAGCTGTTTCTGAAATATTGGTGTATCAAAAAAATCTGAACCAATAGTCGCAACTTAACTGAACGTGAACGCATATACTTGTGAATAGTAGTGAGTTACATAGTCCGCCACTACACAAATGGTATGCTGGCTAGGAGGTGGGATATTGAAGGCCCAAACGATATTTTCATCGGTAACCTATAACTATCGATATCGATATCGATAACATATAACTATCGATATCGATATCGATAACATACAACTATCGATATCGATAACCTATAACTATCGATACCGATATCGATAACCTATGACTATCGATACCGATATCGATAACCTAAAACTATCGATACCTATATCGATAACCTATAACTATCGATACCAATATTGGACTTGACTCATCGATAGTTGAGATTTTCTTCGATATTATAAACATTTTTGAAATGTGAGTATAGTAATTCTTTAACACACACGATCCCACATAGTAATTTATCCGCATCCCACATAGACCTCTTTGACAATCCGTGGGCTTGGTTTGGGAACGTTTCTAACTAACGCATTTGGGCACTGAGTGAGTTTACACGAAGTGAGTTTACTGAGTGAGAAAGGTCCCAAGTGTGCTATTCAACTTTACTCAGGGATTGTCATCGATAGTCAGTATTATCGGAATATCGATATTTATCTCATATTATTTTATACGAAACAGGCAAGATGAGTATAATTTTTTTCTAACGCTCAGATTCTAATATAATTTTTAATGATTTCCGAAAACGATATTTTTAATTTTTTTTTTAAATTTACATATTAAAATATCGAAGGGACGATATCGATAGTCGATAATATTGAAGAGGATACTATCGATATTAAAATATCGAATATGGATATTTCGATAATGTCAACCATCCCTATGCTGGTTAGAAGTTGCTGATTGATAGTGAGAAATTGTGATCTTCCAAAATTCCTCATGTCATCGAACCTCCCCTTATAGAAATAGAAAATAGATACAACCAAAGACGATTTTTATATTTTTAAATGTGCTTCGTAAGAATGTACTTAATTATTTGTTTTGCTGATTTCTTAGTTACGTCATGTGTTAAATTAATAACTTCCCGTAGTAAATACGTCTTTCTCAACTACATACCGTTATTTTTATTGTTTTAACATACTTGTTTACTTCTCTGAGAACACATTCTCTTGTTCATATATTATAGATACATAAACTTTTCTTATATTCATAAAATATATATACTATATTTGTTTTAATAGTTGTTTTCGGGGTTATATTTTACTCTTATTTTCGAATAAATTTTACCAACCTGGGAAACTGTTCCTCCTTATTGTTTATTATCAAAATCATCCATTATTTTATATTTAACTATATCTTATTACTATTAACCACGAAGGACGAAACATCCTCAGCCCGATAACCGGAGCTATCTGGAGTCAGAGTATTAACGCATGGAGAAAGATAAAAAAAGGAGCTGTTTGCAGAAACTGGTCAATCAATACCTCATAATATGAAGGTAAGGGGCTAAAATGGGTGGGGTATTTAACTCGGAACTATTTAGCTGGAATAATCTACACAACTATGAATTCCTCAATAATAGGCAAAAGGCCAAAAAACAAATAGATAGATCGTATCTGTGCGGTGGGTGGGATAGCCGAATGGGCTAACGCGTGTGCAGTGCACCGCCGTTGCCCAGCAACCTGATATATAACTCAAATGATATAAAAATAGTCACAAGTTCGCGTTCCGATGCCGAGGGAGTCTTTTCAATCCCCGCCCACACCCTCTGGTTCGGAAAAAACCCGTATAGCCTCAACGGAGAGGAAGGAGAGAACAGATATATAGATTGTATCAACATAGATGCAATAGAGCAGCATGCAGATACCTGAAAAAAAAAAGATGTGGAAGCCTTGTTAAGACGGCAAAAAGTCAACAAGATCTGTAATAACAACAGAAAAAATAATGTAATTTAACAATCCGTCTACGTTCGTCTTAAAATATAATCCATCTAATATGAAAACTTCAGCTAGTTTTAAAAGTAAAAAAATGAAAAATAAAGACGATGTAAATTGAGTACCGGTCTGGAAGTTGGAATTGCATTAATGGTGAGTGTATCAACGCTACAACTCACATCCTGTAAAAGGGTTATTAACCCTCCAAATGAGGTTTCCTAATTTCTTAACCAATGTAATTAGCAAACAGGAAGGGCCATTTCAGTGTAAATTACAACCCTTCCGTGATTTAGTTGGTAATGGACGAATATCACTTAACTTTTATTCACATTCTAATTGCATATTTATCTACATGTCTGTCACAGAAATATATATCAATACAAATTATATTTAAAAAAAAAGATTTGTAACTAATTATTTTATCAAAGAATACTAAGTTAACACGATCGACATTTTTCTAATCACATCTGAAGTAGATGTGAAGTGAAATGTGAATTACTATAATAAAAAAAATTATCTTTTGTAAATTATCTTTTGTTTTATTATCATTGGCATTATAGTTTATACTCAAATTAATATGTGAAAGTTGCATAATGCTCACATTGCACCAGATATTTTCTTAGTTATAATGAATATCTAAAGAGCTTGTTGGAATAACTGTTTTTATTAGGAAAAAATTCAAAGTTTTACACTTAAGAATAATGTTTTGGAAAATTACTCACAGAAGTCAATAATGTTTTGTAATATTTAAAAATTTTTTTTTAAAAAATTGTAATATTATAGTCGATTGAAATGATCAAATTAACATAAATTAATTCAAGGTTTTTGAACCTTTTAGGTAGGTAAAAGGAATACATTTTTTTTTAAATATTTATAAGTCACTAATAAAATCATCCATACGCACCTTAGTTTCTTATGTTTCCGTTTTTGTCCAATCCAGATACCTTTCCTTCCATAATAAACTTCAGAACCATCCAAACCCTCTCGTTTCTAACCTTGCTTCCTCCTGGATCCCTGCTAACCCTCTGAGACGTCTGAAAAGAAAATGTCCTTGAGATCTCCTATTAAATGCATTTCATTTATTTTTTGTTTTTTTGAGAGTTCGGGATCTACCAGTGGGTAGTTTTTCAATAAGTGTTTTCGTGTTATTATTTTCTGTAATTACATTTACTGAATGTATTTTTTTTTCTGAATACAGTTGTAAATATCATAAATAAATAATAAAAAAAAGTTGCAGATAGTAGTAAAAGTATTGAAAACATTGTGTTTTTTTTAAATGTTTGCTTAAGAGAAGAGAATGGTTGAAACTTATTTTATATCTTAATGTACACTTCCGCATAACGCATAAAAAAAATAGATATGTTCACACATTTGACTTTCCTATCGATTTCAAACAACCAAATATGATGATTAAA